CTGTTTAATTCCAATTCTATATAATGTTGTAGTGCCAATGACTATACTCTAACCGAACTACATTGATCTGAATCTCACACTCACAAATCACACACATCCCATTATGATCACAAAAACGTTATTCCCTCTGTAACAGATCCAACAAGTAGTTGCATCATCGTCACCGATAACTCTTCGGTAAGTGATGAATCGCTTTATCACTTTTTGTTTACGGTAAGAATAATGCAAACACGTTTCTGCATTATGTACAAATTAATACAACTATTGCTCGTGCTCATTGACGATATTTCCAATGCTCATGTTTCATCACTGTTTTGATTTGAATCAAGTTAATTCTTGAGAAAGTGATTTTGTTTCAATATTAATTAGCTTAATAGCTTATGCAGTAGAAGATAATTTTAACTTTTTATTTTGCTGAATCCCTTATTTCAATATCTATGTTTATTGAGAATAGGTTTTGTTGACGTGTTCTTATTGATGTAAGTATATTAATATCATTAGAAACATATTCAGCTCAAAACCAACACTATGAAACTCATTGTGACCTTTCAACAAACACCTTGTTTGCAAAATCAAAGCATGTGCTAAAAGAGTAACTAAGACCCATCAAAACCACATGAAATATTATTAAGAGAAATTGGTGAAGCAGAACAAAACAAAATTTTTAACGCAGCCAAATTTTTAGATTTAACGGAAACCCTAAAAATATTTTTTTTTATACCAGCAAAACTATCAAAACACAAACAATAATAGAGTTCATAAATGTCTAGCGATTATAGAAGTGACAATAACATGAATTTTCATATTAGGGTTTGAGAAGGAACCTGTTAAGATTCCAAGGCACGATGGTGGTGGTTTCTTTGACAGCAGTATAAGCTGAGAGATACTAAGGCGCGGTGGTGGTGGTTACATAAAAGCAGTACGTGAAGCAAAAACACAAAGCCCTTATCCAATATTAAGTGAAGTTTGCAGTATATGACTGTTGTTCAAACGTTGTAGTCTTTTTACTTTCCAACATGGCACAATATTTATTAAACACGAGTGAAGTTTACAAATATTTGGGGACGGTTGTTGTTCCACCATCATAACATAAGCATTTCTCAAATTCAACAAGGGTAATTACTTATATTTGGGTGACGACAGTTGTTAACCCGTCACAAAACAATATTTAGGGCGGTTAGGAACAAAACTGCCGTGAAGGTTTTATGAGAATTTTAAAAAACCAAACGACGGTGGGGTAAAACCGTCGTGGCACCCGTCGTAATTTACTAATAGGGGTGGTTTTCATGGAACCGTCGCGACTTATGTTTTGCTAACTTCATTTTTTCTTGTAGTGAAGTTTGTTTATAGCAGCAGTATGTACATACTTCAAAGCCTTCTTGACCTGATCCGGTCTTGCTGAATATACAGGAATCACAGGTTCCTGACTAAATTCCTGATAGGCAGTATGCACTTAGTTTTTTTTACATTCATATAATTTATTTCTGAAACCAAAACTGTGCTGACAAGGGCATAACCAAAGTTTGAGTTTTTACCATGCCTGAGATTCAACACTTCTGAACCAACTGTTGGCAAAATCCACGAGCTATACTTTCTTGTACACTTCATAAAAAATTGATGCATGCCCAATACCTTACAGTACTTCCATTTATAACTTTCTGCATTGAAATTAGTAAGAACAATTTATTTCCTTTTTTCTTCATATAAAAGTGCTTCTCTCTTCCTCTCTTTTATATATGAAATATTTACATGATAATATGTTCATGTCTGAGCTGACCTTGTTCATCATATTCCATTGTCCGACTTGTGGCAAGTGTTCTTTCTCTCTTTCGGTGTCATTATATTTCAACTATAGGGAAAAAAACTTACATTATAATCATAAAAGCAAACAAGATAGGTAAACAATTAAATAATTAAAGAATTACCCATGGAGGAGGAAGAATTACCCATGGAAGAATTACCCAAATTTTGAACAAAAGCTGCCTTTAACCCTTGCTCTTGTTGATCCTGCTCAACACCATCAGTCTAGCACCTATAGAGACAAAACCAGTAACAACCATTCCTGTTTCCCAAGTAACCCCAAACCAAGAAAACCACAAACAGGAAGTATATTAACAACACCAACAACATCCGGCGTCAACCCATAACTCACTGTCATTTCACGAAAAAGCGAAACTGCAACTTTCGGAACAAAACAATGCAAATAAGCTGACACAATCGAATTCCACGACACCAAATCACAAGAACTTCTACATTAACAGCTAACTTTTTAAAACCAGACAACAGAAGTTATCAGAAATCAATCAGCCTTTCTTTGGCATTACTGCAAGCCTCGTGTACATTCTTGCCATGGACTAGTACCCTCTAACATCACCTGAACGGAGAAGATTACCTACACAGCCAAAAGGAAATAAATGAGAAGTGTCTTTCTCTCCCAACTAGATTACAAGTTTTCAGCTTCACTTTTGTTTTGTTTCAGTACAGAGAAATTAAGGTGTATATGTTTTGGAATGAGTTGGGGGCTAAAGGATCTGAAGTTCTTTATCTACCAAATAATTACCAATATACTACCGGGCAATTCTATAACAAATAACACAAATCTAGAAGCATATATGTAAATTCAAATACTACAAAGTTGAAGACAACAAAATGGCCCTCGTTAATCTAGGGGATTACCACGCCCAACAAAAGGAAATAAATGATGATGTTGTTCTTCTTACTCCGCCGCACGCCGCTATCAACATCAGAAACCCATCGAAACCGTTAAACACCGGAAACATCCCTCCGTTAACATCAAAACAGAACCGGACCTAAACCCCTCTTTTAACCCTAACTTCAACATCCGAAAATCTTCAACACAGAATCCACATTCCATCTCTCACCATTAACAGAACCACACACAAAACGCCGGAAAACTCCTTCAAAACCTCCATCGGAACCCCTTCTAGAAACCTTCACCTCCGACCGTTAATCCATCCCTCACTTCAAACTGGCTTCAAACCCATTTCATCCGTAAATCCAACTTCAAAACACCCCCAATCATAAACCCTAACCCCTCTTTCAGTAATCCAAATCTCCATTCCTTCCTCCGTAAACCTCAAACTTCAATCGATTTCTATCATCAAAACCAAACCGTTCAGAATAATCATCATCAACAAACGTAAACCAGATTCAGAAATAGAATAAGAGGAGATGGAGAGAGTTTGAAAGAGAGAGCCAGTGAAACGAGATTGAGAGAGAGGGGAATCCGAGTAATGATACGAAGAAGGAATTTTGAGCCAAAACGAAAACCATTTGGGCCAGGAAAGGTTTTGATATTTTAATTAATTTAATTTAGTGGAATATTTTAATAGCACTTTTTAAAAAAGCACTTTTTAAAAAAGCGCTATCTTAAAACACAATTATATAAACGATAGCGGTTCCATAGAAAGCGCTATTGTAGTTACATATTTTAATAGCGATTTTTAAAAAGCGCTATCGTAGTGCTTTTAATAATAACGTTTTTATAAAAGTGCTATTGTAATACAACATTTTAATAGCGCTTTTTAGAAAAGCGCTATCTTAGTGAATATCTATAATAGCGCTTTTTTACAAAGTGCTATCAAAATCATATTCTCTGTATTCTTTAATAGCGCTTTACTATAAAGCGCTATTATAAATATGTTTGTTTCCTTTTTAATAGCGCTTATTTAAAAAGCGCTATTAAAGTAGGCGATACAAAAAACCAATTTTGGCGTAGTGTACCATATTTTTTAAATATTTGAAAAAATTCATGATTTTCTCTATTTTTTTTAATATTCTCGTTAACCAAAAAAATTATAACTACTGATTTTTTTTAAATGACCGGTATAAATGCATGTATTTTTATCGAATTATGTTTTTAAATATCCGATAAAAAAGCATGAAAAGGATGAATTTTTATTGGACATTTCTAAAAATCCAATAAAAATATGTCTTTTTCAAACAAAAACAAAACAGTAAAATCATAAAATTTTGGTAAAATTCGATCCTTAATGATCATAAAGGCATTAGTTTGAATGAAAAATCTAATATTCACAAGAGTTTTTAATTTTTTTTTTGAATGTTACTCCCTCCATTTTACGATGACCGATTTAAAATAAAATAGTGACTCAAAATGTATGATCCATTTTAATTTTTAATATTTTTTTTTCTATTTTACACTTTAATTAATATTTTTTTTATTATTCTCAATACATTATAAGGGTCCTTTAGTAAAAATATCATTCATTCTCATTTATTTATTTTCTTTTTTTAAATATATGTAAAAAATTAACCTTCCCTCATTGTAGGGCGGAAGAGGTACAATATATTAATGAATAGTAAAATGAATTTTGATATTTCGTAAAGTTAATATAGTCATTGCATATCAGCTGAGATGCCATGTCAAATATATGAGTGGCAGGATAAATTCTCGAATCCGTGAGATTGCTAATACTTTGCACCACTTTACCTTGGGTTGCCGTTGTTAATTACCTCAATTAAGAATTATATTAACACAGTTCATGGTTTTGTTAACGGAAAACCATGTTGATTAAGGATCTTTTTACAATTTAGATGTGTGTCGTTATAGTACATTTCACAAACATTGTCCTTATCATTACATACTAATACTATACTACTAAATATTTGAATTTGAATACAAAAACAGTTAGATCAAAGCAAACCTACCAATGAGAATCAATTAACAGGTCGTTCCTCTCACAGAATTGCTGAAGTTCACGGGACTCCTATACTCACATCACATGCCAATTGTTCCATATCACAATTCAATTAAATTAATATTTCCTATTGGAAAGTGGGAATATTTTACTCTTTTATATTGATTCCTTTTCACTACCAGTTAAAACAAAAGACAGCTTTTGGTTCACATGATTTTTATTTTTTCTTACATCAAAAATTACAGTTACCTTTTTACACTATAAATAACAGCATCACTCACTCCTCCTTCACACAGTTACACTTGTAATTAATTAACCATTATGGACTCTTCTAGATCTTCAACTCTTGCTCTTTTTTTCATCACCAACATGCTTTTCTTTGTTATGGCAAATGGTTGTTTCTTTTGTCCAAAACCAAACCCTAACCCTAACCCTAACCCTAATCCATTTCCTTACCCAAACACAAGTCCTTCCACTAAGAGTTGTCCTAGAGATGCACTCAAATTAGGAGTATGTGCTAACTTGCTTAATGGACCTATTGGTGCAATTGTTGGGTCACCACCAGAACATCCTTGTTGTTCTATTTTAGAAGGACTAGTTGATCTTGAAGTTGCGGTTTGTCTTTGTACTGCCATTAAAGCTAACATTCTTGGCATTGATATTAATATTCCTATTTCACTTAGTTTGATTCTTAATGCTTGTGAGAAGAGTCCACCCACTGATTTTCAGTGCTCTTAATTAAGTGTTACTCTTGATTAACCTGCTGCTAAGTTGTATTTTTGTTGTTAATTTTGTGTGATTTATGTTGTAATTGACGATTCATGAAATGTTGTTTGCTACTTTGTTAAATTAAGTAGTGACTAATCTCTTACTGCAAATGCAGTTGTATTTTGTAACTGTAATTTCTAGTTGCAGTCTTGAATGAATTTCTAATGTTAATTATTTGATGGTATATTTCTTTTTTTCATAAACAGTAATAATTATTATAAATTCACATAAAATTGTGAGTATTAGGTATTGTGAGTATTAGGTTTTGAACTCTAATAATAATGCTCATACGAAATCAGGAGTATTAGAATTTCACCCTTGATAATTTCGTCTAATTTAATACTATCGACTTTTTTTATTTGAAGTGGAATTTGCATATGGAATATTTTTGTATTTGATAGAACATTAATACAAATTTTAAATAAGAACATTACTATAATAACTTTAGTCATTTAGTTTTTTATGGTTTTGTTTCAAATTTCAAATTCCTCAAAATTTTGTCTTTGACATGATTTTTCCGTCTGAAAAAGGTGAGGTAAAAAATAGAGAGCTACATGACTACATAGGGTGCCACATGAGATGTTGGTGCCACATGGTGATAAGTTTTCAGATCAGCAATAGGCGATACAAAGTAGTAGGGACAGAATAAAAAATAAATTTACTTTTAGGATGTCACAATTGACATTACATGTGAAACCGATCCAATTAGATGTTATTAGAATATAATTATTAGTATTGTTATATAATTTTATTGTATTTTAGTAAGAATAGCTTAATGTTTTCTTCTATCTAGTATTTTTACTTAGGACTCTCTAGATTTTCATCATTCTATTGAAATCTTAAAGTTAAAGGCTGTTTTTTTTTTCTTTCTCTAAGTTTTGACATGGGAACAATTGTTAACATGTTCATTAATATTGAAAATGTATTTGGATTGAGAGGGAAAATATGTTTTTAGGAAAGTAAACAACTTCAATCTCCAAATAGCGAAGAGTAATAAGTCCTTTATCTTAAACTGTTTGATTAACTATAATTTTAAATCATCAATTTCATCAAAATTATCACATGTAATAATCATCTCATACATATAAAAAAAATTAAAATACAGCAATGAAAAATGGTTCTAACAAACAAAGCAAAATCATGATCACTAAAAAAAAATGAGCAAATGAAATATTACATTAGTAAGCTTCTCTAACTTATCTCATGGAGTTTCTTTCAAATCATAGAAGATCTTCCTCAACTTACTCATTTTCCCATAATTAAGATAAACACTTGATAGAGGTACAGTATAAACTTAAACTTCATCTTGAGTATAATAAACTCTATATACGTAACAAATTATATGAAATAATTCTACCTTTATAATGAACTCTATATAATGATAAGACAATTAAAAAAATTGATATAACATTCGTAATTAATTCTATTTTGAATTCAATCTATAATACTCCCCTTAAGTTGGATGGTGAGGAATATGGACACCCAACTTAATCATAATATCATGAAAATGTGAAAAAGATGTTCATCATATATCTTAGTTTAGTTTTAACGAAGACAAAAGTTTATCATAGAAGAAATATTAAAGAAAAAAAAAAGATTAAAATCAAGTATCAATATTAGATAAGCTTTGGAAATAAATGACAGAATCATGAAAATTAAGGTACAATGGCAATTCATATGTATATAATCTTTAAGTGCTCAAAATCTTTTCATCTAAACCTTTCTATGTTTCCTAAACATTCATGCATGATTGTCGTTCAAAGCACAACTTTTAAAGGAATAATTTTATGTTTTAAAGAGGTCAGTCGATTGACCTCTAACATTCAATTGATTGACATGCTCTCTGTTAAACAAAAAACTGAAAGACCAACTGAGTCAATCGATTTACTTATATATGTCAATCGATATACATAATGCAAATTTTGATGTTTTTTGAACGTTGGAATTGTGTTAATCGATTGACATCTTAGGTCAATTGATTAACATCCTAAAACATTTTGAAAATTCTGAAACATTGCGTATCTCTTCATTATATATGATCATGATATCTTTTCCAAATAATTATAAATTCTCATGAACAATTTTTCAAACGTTACCACTCATTCAAGAGGCATATTGTGATATATTTAAAGCATTATTTTGTTAAATTTCAAACCACCTCTTTCATCACATTTTTCCAAACAATTCTTACTGTTTTTTAAGTGTTTATATACAATGCTTATATATTATTGAATTTTTCATTGAAAGAGAAAATTAAATTTTCAAAGATATTGGAAAACATACAAACTCTATGTATTCAACTTATCTATTTCCTGTAAATTATTCACCAAGTGTGTGGTAGTATTGTCTGTAAAGGAAATGGTTGTACTTTCTACTAATGATTGCAAATAGGAAGTCATATTCTATATGTACTTTTTTAAAAAGATCCTTTAAATTGGTAAGATTGAAAGTCCACAATAGGTTTGCCGTGTTGTGTTAAAAGATTATGATCGTACCTTATCAGAAGGAGTCAATGGCCAGATACGCGTCTGAGTTGTCTGACCGCTGGGAGAATGGAGGGGGTGTACCTGAAACACACTCTGATGCTAAAGTAAGAGTCGAGCAGAGTGATAACAAGTACAAAAGTAAGAATGAGATTACCTGACCCTCTAGTGAAAGAGGTTATTTATAGTATGCCCTCTACGCAAGGCTAATGGTTACTTCACATTGGGGTGGGTTGCTAGGCCCAATGTTGGTAACTGCTAGGGCTGACGTGGCGTCAGGAAGACCATCGCATGGTCTTCGCCCTAGTGTAACTGCTTTGTGCTATCCGGGAGGTCGAAGACCGAATAATCAGGACACAGATAGTTACCAGATGACGTGTCTCCGCGTAGGGAACATGTTGAGAGTGTGGGGGAGGTCAGAGGAGCCCCCCGAGCTGGATAGGGTCTGCTCGATAGTGGGGCTGAAGAGAGAGCGTGCCTGACAGATGTGAGGTGTCTGCTCAACTGCCAAGGGCCCGTGCTCGACAGGAGGATAGGTTCTTCCCGACGGGAGAAAGGTCTATGCCCGACGAGGAGGCGGTTTAGGCCTTATTGGGCCTTCCAACCCAATGTGGGATTGGGCCTGCTCGACTATGGGCCAAGTGTCGACCCAATCCAAAACAGTAGCCCTCCAAGTTGTTGTTCGCGATCAAACGAGCTATGACTTAAGGTGCAGAAGTGTCTAGCATGTTGCTTCGTCGGTCAGTCTGTGGCTGAAGGACGGGGATGATGAGCTGACTAGGCTGAAGAGGCGGGTGGATGAACTCGAGGACTTGCTTGCTCTTGTCGAGGAAGAGTTTGACGAGGAGAAGCTGCTGGTATCCCGACGGGAGCTAGTGGAAAAGATTCGGCTGTTAGAGGATGACTGCCTAGGGGTTGTCGAGGTAGGCTTTTAGAGTGTCGTGGCCCAAGTTTCGGCTTGCCAACCTCGGCGTGGATTTGGTGACCGAGGGGACTGGCCCTTACCATCAAGTCAAGGTGATCGCATCGCGGCGCTCGGCAGACCAGACAGTGATGAGGGGGACCAACCCGTCCTAGAAGGGGAGGATCACACAGACGATTAGGAACTTGTGTGGCTTGCATGCCCATTTATATGTTGGATTGTGTGCCTGCTTGTATCGTCCTGTGTGCCGGTTTGTAATTTTTTATTGTTGTTCGGGCCTCGTGCCCTTATTTGTATTTCCTGAATAGCTGGGCTAGTGCCCGTGATTGTATAACAATGTTTATCGTTTTGGCTAAGTATTTGTGTGTGCTCATTTATTTATTTATTTATGTATGTTTGTTTGCACGTTTATATATTGGTGGAAGTGGTAGTTCGATGTTACTTGTTGTGCTCAGTAGTATAGGTAACTGGCCGGGTGACCGGGGTTATTACCTGGTCGGTTACCAAGAGGGACCGCGGTCGCGGCCATCTCTCTGCAGCGTGAATGTCTCATCGCGAGATGGATGTTCTTCCATCTCGGTACGGTGGCGGTGGCTCTCGATTGAGGGCCCCTAATCTAACAGAGTGCTCTGCCCGCATACACAAAAAGGAAGATGCTTGTTATCTTGTTGAGTTTTGGGAGATGCATTTGTAATAGGCCGCGCTTCCGTGGTCGCGCGGTTGGTCATTGCGAGCAGTGTTAAACTGTAGTACATTTTGAGTTTCTCAATGTTCCATGGTCGAGAAATTTCATCCCCGTGTAGGTTTTCGAGGTAGTAGGCCCCGTGTTCCGTCTTGTCCCAGACACAATAGGGGATTTCCCAATTTGCAGTGAGCTTGCCCTCGCGCGAGTCTTTCTGGTTTCCTTGCAAGACTGGGTCACCGACCTGAAACTCACGTCTTATGACTTTGCTGTCATAGCGAAGGGAGATTTTATGTTTTAGCATGGCTTCACGGAGAGCTTCCTCCGAACGGATCTCTTTGACTAGGTCGAGCTCATCTTGGAGGGCCTCGTCGTTGGCCTCCTCCTCGAGAGGAATTTAGTTCTTCTGGATGGCTCCCTTATTTCTACTGGGATCACCACTTATGTCCCGTAGGTTAGTCGGAAAGGGGTATCCCCGGTGGTCGAGTGGGGCGTCGTTCTATAGGCCCAGAGTATGTTGTGGAGCTCCTCGACCCATCTCTTCTTGGTGTCCCCGAGCCGGCGTTTCAGGCCCCGTAGGATAACTCTGCCCGCGGCCTCCGCCTGGCCGTTCGTTTGTGGGTGCTCGACTGAGGTAAAGTGCTGCTTTGTTCCGAGTTTGGTCATAAAGTCTTGGAAATTTTTTTTAATGAACTGCGTCCTGTTGTCGATCATGATGGCCAGGGGGACGCCGAACTGGGCAAGGATGTTCCTCTTGTAGAAGCGGAGTATGTTGTGCACTGTGATTTTGGTGAAGGCCTCGGCTTCAATCCATTTGGTAAAATAGTCGATGCCAACTATCAAGTACTTATTCTGATAGGAGACCACGGTAAATGGATTGGAG